CCACGAAACTGCCAGGCATGGCGGCCACGCGCCTGTTATCACCCTTGAACGGCGGGGCAGAACCGGTGTGTGCGTCCGTCTCCACACCTGCTAATCTGTTCCCTCTCCCACAAACTACCACATAAAGCCCCGCGGCGGGAGCGACACTCACGTCCGCAGGCAGCCCGGGCTAATTCTCACTCCCACGAGACACGGTTACTCGCCCTGTTCCCAGGCTAACGCGCCTTGTGTTGCCTCTCTACGACAGCTTGCTCCGTGTGCAGAGTGCACTCGCTGCCCATTTTCATCTTCTGCCTGTTGCGTTTGACGGAACGGTATTTCATCGTGAGCGGTTCGAATCGGCCAGATATCCTCGGCCGCCATATTACACTGAATGTTAGGCGTAAAGATCAAGTCAAACTAGTAGGGCATGTGAGTGCTAGCTTGATGCGAATACGAGAAACCGGTGCGGCTTCAAAGAACAGCTCAATAAGAGCAGGCACTATAATTTCCTAACGAGGTATCCCATTTCAGGTACCTTGGCGTTACTTTGTCATCAAATCTTTCATTTTCCCTCCATATTGAGTCCCTATTTACTAAAGTTCGCAAACTCCTTTATTACATTCGTCGTTTACGTTCCTACCACAAACTTCAACCCTTAATCTGGCGATTCATAGATGCCTGCATTCTTCCTCTTATCTCATACTGCTCTCCTGTCATTTCTCCTGCTTTGCTAAAAAAGATCTTTTAATTTTAAAACAATTCCTCTGAATGCTCCCTTCCGCCGGTGTTTCTTATCTTTTTTAGTCGATATTATCCTACAACGACATTTCAAAACGGTCAAGCAATTTGCCGGTCGGATTATTAATGACGTTGACCATCCCTTCCATTCTGATCTTATTTCTGCGAAGTCCTCCCATCCGATGCGCCGCGGTTTCCGACTTATCTCTTGTCGCACATCGGCATTTCGAGATTCTGTATTGCCATTCCTGGCGCGCTATCTTATGTGTGAAGAGACAGAAACACAGAAACTAAGACTTGAACTGACCCAATAATAATCGTTCCTTTTGTGATAAACATTTTGACTCTTCAGTGATCTATCAACTTATTTACTGCTCATAGTGAGTGGAATCAATTTGTAGCTGAAAATTTTGAATTTATACTTTCAAAATAGAGCGAATTCCTCTCTCTCTCTCTCTCTCTCTCTCTCTCTCTCTCACTCACTCTCTCTCTCTCTCAAAATGGACTTTCAGGTGATTCTAGCTGGAGAAATTCCGGAAAGATGTGGTTATGTAGCCTCATCTAACGAACACAATACGGTTGACCTACCTAATTATTTCGAGTTGGTGTGATTACGTTGGCATGGTGTTGCTGTGCGTTGCGGTATGTGCTTTGTTGATGGCCGTCTCTAAATTTTTCGGCCTAACGCCGGCGGTCCTTCTTGGCTTTCGGTCTGTCTTCTCCTTACAACTTCCGCGCTGGTTGTTTGAGGGTTAGGGTAAAGGGCTGTCGTTAAGGCCTAGGGTAAGGGTTGGGGTTAGGGTCAGGGGTTAGAGGCTATGGTTAGGGTTTCGTATTGGGGGTTAGGGTTAGCGTTAGGAATCAGGGTTAGTGGTCATGGCTAGGGAATAGGGTTAGGGGTTAGGGCAACTATTTCTCAACCACTCAAAGTACACCCACGCACTCCCAATAGATTTTCTTTTGCATACAACTACTTGACCCCGTCGCCTGTGCGTTCCCCCGTCCCACCTGTAAAATCCCCTATTACCACCGGTCCCGTATTACAGGTGCCTGGGCTTTGTTTACGTCAGGTACGGCTACATAACCACATCTGACCGAAAGTCCGACAGTGTTACAACTATATAAGGTAGAAAAACTGGCTTAGTATGCCCAAGTAAGTGGGTCCCTCAAATGGACTAGACAGCAGGTCCGAGATATAATGCACTTATTAGAGGCATAAAGGGTTATTTAAACAAAAAAATTAGTCAGCGCCTAAATAAACGCGTCCCGGCGAACCGATCTTTTTCTTCAGATCATCAACCCGGATCTCTCAACTGTGTCAGTCTGAGAAAACTAGCTGTCTAAAGAGCCATCAGAATCCCCTCTAAAATTCCCCGTTTCTGCAAATGGATTTCACCAAGTCATTACAGGGCTACTCAGTTGGCTGAACTCCAGGTTTAGTTTCGACGAAGAGAATGACCGTTAAGTATATTGAAAGTGTGCATATCGGTCCTGGAAGTGCAATTAACGGCTGTTTCTGGTAATAGCGGTGACGTCACCCTCTCTTGCTTGCGCAGGTGGAAGAAGCAGCAACGGTGACTGATCGGGTGTGGGGTCTGTACGTGCTGCCTTGATTTGGTCGATGCTGAAAACACATTTCTTCGCATTGCGAACAGCGGTTGTAAAGGACTTTTCGCCGCAGGAGATGCACTGAAAGGTGAAGGGGTCGGCAGACCAGGGCACGTTCCCAAGCCATCGTCCTTAAGAGCCGGGTCATCGGGCGTTAGAGCTTCTCCTGTTCTTAGCAAGCACATGTACTTCTCAACTGAGCAAGTTAACTGCCTAACAACTCATACTGAGGGTAAGAACATTCTCATGCCCCTCGTACAAAGAACCCACAGATCTTGATGTCCAGTATCATCGCAAGTGATGAAGTTAAATAAGCTTTGGTTTTCACTAAAGGCAATAAGAAGTTGGCAGTGGGTGGAGCTAAAAAGCCCACAACTAAGAATTATTTTAGTAAGTCCTATGCGTACAGTCCTTACAAAAAGCAATGTTGTTTCATCCTCAAGAGAATCGAACTCCCTAAGTACCCCTAGAATTATCAAGCAGTTAAGTATGGGGGATTTGTGTGGCAGAGGTTTCTGTGCCAAGCTACAATAGCTCCTTCTTAATGTAGACTTCGTGATGACCTCCTTCCATGGGGATCCGAAAACCTCCATTCGATGGCTTGTTCGCGTAGGTTTAGGCGACAGGGTGGTACATATGTGGACACTCGTAGTCCTGTCATCTACTGCGCCGACGCCCAGTCTTTGCCTTACCTTGCAATCAAGGTCCAAGCAGATGTGTAAAACGCGATGTAAGTTAGATGCTACGCAAGCCCGCTTCGCTGTAAACAAATTCACACGCATGCTCCCTACTGCGCCTCCTGTGGGATAGCAGGGGAACCTCGTTGTTTGCGACAACCAAGCTGTCCATATCCACGATGTAGAATGTTGAATATCAGTCTGCGGAGATACCCACTTGTCGTTTCTACATCAACCGCTGCTATTGCCTGGACGGAATCGGAGATTAGGCAGTGGGTATTTTGAGACTAAATGCTATCCATGCTTGCCGGGTAATGGACAATCTAAGCACTGGCAGAAGAAGAAGAAGAAGAAGAAGAAGAAGAAGAAGAAGAAGAAGAAGAAGAAGAAGAAGAAGAAGAAGAAGAAGAAGCGATAGTTGGAACAAGAGCTTAGTTCGCCTGATGTTTCGGATTCTCACTTGAACCCATACTCAGAGAAAAAGAGGGACTCAGAAAAGAGTGACTCGTGCACAGGAAGTTGCAGCATTTACAGGATGCAGTCGCTATGCTACCGCATACCTATAGTAATTAACCGCTCTACCCTTCATCAAGGTTTTTGCCCGCTGGTGCCCCAAGTACTTAATGGCCGGGTGTTTACTGTTTAAATTCAGTACTTGCGTCGTGTTTATCGCTTTCCCGAACTCTTTGGTCTTTAGGCCACTACAATCATTGCGGCAAACGAGGACATCCAAAAACGCCAGCTGATTGTTCTCTTCCTCCTCCATCGTGAACTAAATGTTCGCGAAGACGGCGTTGAGACATCTTTTGAATGTCAACACCTGATCCCGTTCGGTGACGACGGTGTCGTCCACATACTTAGCCCAAAATTTCGGTCTGTGGTGTCGGAAAACCAGCGACTCCAACCGTTGTAGGACAGCCTCGGCGAGGAATCCCGAAATTGGCGAACCCATTGGCGCTCCCTTCACCTGCTCGTAGATTGTTCTGTCAAATGTAAAGTACGTCTTCAGACAGAACTCCAGGAGTTGGATGATTTGGGCATGTCCGAGACGATTATCCGTTTCATTGTATTTGCTTTGTAGGAGTAGCTCGACGGTCTCGATTGCCAGATCCTGGGGAAGTAAAGTGGGACGTGACATCAAAAGATACCATGACCTCATTTGCCAGTCCCTACGTTGGAGTGCCTTTGAGCGATACAATGGGACGGAGAAGAGCGCCCTCCTTGTGAATCTTGGGAGACCATAGAATCGGGCCAAGGCCGTTTCTTGGGCTCTCATTGTCCTTACCTTGTTCACAGAAGCTTTTGTAAGAGTGCTTGGGGTTCTCCAGAAAGCCAAGGCACCAAAGTCGATATGTAAGTGTACTTGACAAAGTCGCAAAAGAATATTCTTTCTTGCACCCTTTGGTGAAGAAGTAAGTCTTAGTCGAATTTTATACCGTTTTGAAAATGTTTTCCGATTCCCGAATAATTTTGAACTCAGCCTGCAGCTATACTTGAGCTTAAGGTTTCAAAACTCCATGCTTTATACTGCCCGTGTAAGGTAAGTCATTTACTCCTCTACTCTGCTGAGAAAATGTCATGTAGCGCTCATAAAATTATGCAATGGATGTGGACCGTGTTGCATGCTTCACAGGCAGTATTAATAAACGCACTGATGCAGTTCTGCATGAATTGCCGCTTCATATTCTGAAAAAATCCCATAACTAGAAACTATTTTAAAGCTCAAAGATATCCTGTCTTCAGGTTCTTTGCCAGACGAATATAAGAAAGGATGATCTGTGCATGTTTCCCATAAAATATATTTGAATTTATAGGGACATCGAAAATCAATGGGGAAGTCTCATGCTACTTAGGGTTTTTTACTGAGTGTGGTTTATGTAGGTGACCGGAAAGAAATTTATCCAAAAGCCGGCATCCTGGCGTGGCTGAAATATTAGGGGATTATGCTTTATGGGTATGAATATTACAATCCCACCCAATTAATCGTTTATAATCGAAATCACATACCAGAATTTTGGCCAATGTTTCACAAGATAGCATATCTATGAAAAGTTATAAAACTAGGAGGATGGGCCCGTTGCCCCTGGACACACATTCGCCTTCCAGAGTGCCGAAATCCTGGGCTGAGGAAACGATCGCGTGACCGGGAAAACAATTGAGACCTGGCACACTGGCACGAACTCCATCAACCGCTGTGTAGGGCTTCCCGAAGCCTACCAGGCCCTCCGGACGCAGCTCAGAGAACAGAGGAGCAAACGTGGGTTACGCGGAGCAAGGGACTAAATTACGGTTGGGTCCATGGGGGACACAGACACAACTGCACTTCAACTTGGATCTGGCGCAGGTGAGATCGTCACCACAATCGCGACACCCACTTATCCGGCAGGTGAGGAAACAGACGGTCGCAGTAACATAAACGGACCCGACGAAGGTGCCGACGTCACTGCCACTTATCCGGCAGGTGAGAACACAGGCCGTCACGGGGTCGTAAAGAAGATTGCCAGCCTAGGACGAGAACTAAGGTCCATGCGAACACGTGCGATGAGGGCTAGCGCCCGAACGCCGGCCCCCGACGAGAGGTAAACCCGTTGAAAGGAGACCATCACCACCTATAAATACTGTGAGGCGTGGTACATCACTCACCTCCGACGATGAAAGCTTGTTTGCTTTTGAAACCTCAGGGCAATACAACTATGGTTCCCGAGATCGTCTCTTCTCCTTCTCATTTATGTCCGGGGACGCGCATCTTCGCTTCTATCAGTTATAGTTGTGTGCACCATCAGTCTTAAACGACGTCGATATTCTACTCAAGCCTCTTAAAGCGTGGAGTTAGAACCTTCCCAGTGGGCAAACAACAGTAATCAACCGAATACTGGCTCCTATTCCAATTATATAAAGCAGTCAGTAGCAAGAATGCTAAGGATGACTGATTCGTGGAGCTTCCTGAAAGACAGCCCTCGAAAACGGAAGAAAGAGAAGGAGAGGGAGGCATGAGAATTCGCACCAGGGTTCAAAAATGGCGAAAAAAACAATCGCTGGATGCAATGAGATGCCTTTTGAATAGCCCCTGGACTTCTCAGTGCCCTCGATTCCAATTCACGCCTCAAAATGCTTGCTACGGTGCAAAAGTGCCTCCGGTAGATGCAGGCTGAGTGCAACAAAGTCTGATTACGTCAACGCAACTTGCACACGTCGGAGAGCGCAGACTCCAATGTACATGTAGGTGGCCTGCATTGCGCGCTAAAGGCAAAGAAAAGGCAACCTGCGTGTCGCCTGTCATGGAGTGACTCAACAAAACCTTCGATTGTTCCCCTCAGTTCAAAAAAACCTTAATAAGCGATTAACAGAGCATGTTGTTTGTAAACTGACGGTGCACAACGATGACAGATAACATGCTGTTGCCACCATAGTTCAGGATTAACAGCTTACCCCCCCCTTTTGTTGCGCTCATAATAGACTTTAAAAACGCTTACCTGTGGCAGCTGCTTTCATGCTCTTAAGGGGTCATCGATGCAACCTTGCAAAATGGAGCATTATTGAAGCACCTGAACCTTGTCACCCAGACTGTCACAAGCGTGCTTGCTTTGACTGAGGTCGGGAGGATCGACACAAGCGCGAAGAATTGGGGAATTCTGGATTTAGCGTTAAATTCTTCTGTCGAGTACGCTTTATCAGGTGTTCCAGTGTTATATTGTGGAATATGCGGTGACATGGTCCTAATCAGTAACAAAATCGTGCTGCCCTGACCGACAGTACCGTCCTGCAGGAACCCTTTTCGTTAGTCTGCCAGTTCGACCGTCTTGACTGACGGCGTCCGCCACGCCTGCCCACAGCAGGTGCGGTGACTTGTAGGCGAATGCGATTATAGTAGTTGTGGACTTGCACAGCATCCACCGCACTCTCTCCTCCCCCCACCTGAGCCCATTGTCACGACAGTCAAGAAGACGAGAGAGGGCGCAGGTGGCTGACACGACCGGACCCGCACCTAGGCGTACCACCACGCCCCTTCGCTAGCCTATACTGCTATTCACACGCATGCTGGTCATTCATTCGCACGACTAAATAGGCGGGTTATCTGCACCGAAGTTGCCTGGTCGGCAACCCCAATGTGTCTTGAATGTAAGGATATTCTACCATTGCATAAAATGATTTGACAGACGTTTTTGTTAGCCCCGAACTTCTAACAGCAAGACTGGTTTAACCAGTACACAATGAAAAGTATGGGAACCCGAGCTCCAGCAATTTCTTACTTGCGCAAGTATCTCCGATACCTTCTCAATAGCACTGAACTGATCGTCTCAGAGGATGTTGGGCTACATGCGAAGAAGTGTTGTTGTGATCGTCGCTGAACGTTGGGCAACCAGCAGGGCGTTTACTCGTAATACGTCTCTTAACTACTGTTGGCCTCAGGTACTCGTCACCACACATTGGCGGTATTTGCTTGTCGGCTGCCCAGACTACCGTCTGGATATGCGCTCAGCCTGTCCTACGATCTGCAAGTCCAATCAACTTACCAGGAGTCGCCACTACATCCACAGATTTACTGACTAACGTGACCCTGACGGTGGCCTGAACTACGCAAAACACACATCTACCTTTGTTTCCACATGCAGACAGCATCTGTATCCCTTTGGCTAGAATAAGAACTGTTCCTGCGATAGTTTCCTTCTGACTTTGAAACGTGATATTGGGATGATTAGATCCTCGCAGGCAACGGGATCCATAATTGACTCCCAAGGAGCGTTCATACTGGCGCATACTGGCGTCGCATCCACCTCTTTCTATTCCGAGGACAGACAAAATCAAAACGACAAGAATTGAGCCTGGTGAGGATAAATGGCCTATTTGCGCGTGCCACAGATGGCATTGCGCCGGACTTCATTTCAAATGCGTCCCAGATTTCGCACATTTGAGTATCTTAAGGGTATCATTAAGAACTAGTCATTGCGGCCTGATCCCCAGTGCTGAGGAGGATCGACTTGTCCCATTAGTTGACAACCTTCCAAATCACAGGTGTTAACTCTCCGTGATAATCTCAATGCAAACTCGATTGTTTATAGGTGGAACTAAGTGCTGGGTCCAAGCTAGATCGAATTTACTCTCTCTCTCTCCTCTTCCCCGTGTACCAGTAGCCTGTCTGAGTGAAGCCGACTAGGAAGGAGAATGGGGTGCCTTGGTTGACCTGACGTTTGCCTTCTGTCTGAGTAGGAGCAGTTGAGGCTTCACGCTAATTAGGCGTAGATCGGCAAAGGCATGTCACGGACACAATGGCAAGGGAGGCAAGAAAGACGCGATACCATAAAATTTAGCTTCTTATTCCAACGAAGTAACCAATTTTTGAACGTTCATGTTCATTTTTCAAAGTCCAGTCAAGGTACGGCGCGTTACGAGATTACAACGGACCAGTCATGGGTAGGTTCAGTGATCAATGACCTTTCTCAAATTCGACTATGAATACGCCCGTAAAAGTGACGAAGAGCTAGTCAATGCATATATTTCTTGTTATAGTCTACGGTGGAGAGGAGCTGTGAGTAACGGCGTGTGTGTGCGTGTGTATTTGTGGGGTGTAGGGGTGTCCAGTTGTGGATTCACCTGACGGTCCTCACTTGTTTGCAGGTGCAGACTACGTCTGGTGTCCATTGACTGGTACATAACTCTCACATGCGGTTTCGGGAAACCAGGCTATGCCTAGCGCCCACACCCCGGTAACCGCCTCGACTGACGGGCTAAACCAGGTGAGGATATCCGGGTACCCGTGTGTGCATCACCGCACACGGTAACTCGACTGCGCTCCCACCACCGCCGGCCGGATGGATCACCGCCTCGGCATCTCCGAGATGAGGCTTCGTCGGCAACCCTGCAGGAGGACACAAGCACTCAGCAAGCTACTGACCCTCTTACCTCCCCTTCGCACCTATTCTCCGACCTTCTCGTCTGCCATTTCACTCTCTCTACTTAACTTTACTCTCATACCACACGGCCGAAAGTCCCACGGATCACTACATCGCCACCTCCAAAATGAAGCTTCGTTTACAACCTTCCAAGAAGTCACAAGGTAAGCAACCTCCCAGGTAAGCTAAGTATTGCCTTGTTGTCTATGCTTTTTGTTTGTTTTTGTCTGTTTGTCCTTGTTGTAGGCTAAATACCGATCTTTTGAATTCGTTTGATCACCATTTATATTTCAGCAGTCGGTCAACTTAGAGTGGGACATGGAACTCTGCTTCCCGTCTCTCTACCCTTCCCCCATCATCTCTCCTCCCCCCACTCAAAAAGTCCTACGGCGAGAGCGACAGCGATCACGTAGGCAGCCCAGGCTAACTCACGTCGTTCTCCCACGAAACAAAGTCTTGGCCCATAGTAGAGTCCGAAAGCCGTTTGGGATGTCTGAACAACTCTATTTAGTGAGCATTGCTCACCCCCACAAGGGGGAGGGGGATGGGAAAGGTGCCCTAAACAAATGCTGGAGAACCATACCGTCTGCCGGCTGGCCGTGGCTTGCAAAAGAAAAACACACAGTCGAAACAACTAAACACGAAGCAATACTCTCTCTTCCCCCCCCTCCTCCTCCTCCTCCTCCCCCTCCTCCTCCTCCTCCTCGTCCTCACCGCCGCCCCACTTGCCAGACTGGTAAGGTGAGTCCGCTCATTCTGGCAGCCTGGAATGTTCGTTCCCTTTTAGACAATCTGAGGAGCAACCGACCGGAACGGAGGACGGCGCTAGGGGCCCACGAACTCGCGCGCTACAAGGTGGACATCGCCGCACTCAGCGAGACCCGGCTCTCCGAACAAGGACAACTGGAGGAGGTGGGTGCCGGCTGCCCCTTCTTCTGGAGCGGTCACCCAAGGCAGAGCGACAAGACGCGGGTGTCGCCTTTGCCATCCGAAACGACATCATGAGACGACTGCCCTGTCTGCAGCAGGACATAAACGATCGCCTGATTAGCCTCAGTCTGCCCCTCCGAGGAGGCGAATTCGACACCATCATCAGCGTCTACGCCTTCCTCCCCCAGATGACATCCCTGACACTACAAGAGACAAATTCTGCGAGGACCTGCACACCCTCCTGGCGACTGTGTCTAAGGCGGACAAGGTGATTGTCCTTGGTGACTTCAACGCCCGCGTCGACACAGACCATGCTGCCTGGAGAGGAGTGCTGGATCCCTATGGTCTCCGCGGCTCCAACGACAACGGCCTGCTGCTTCTCCGCACCTGTGCAGAACACCGCCTCATCCTGACGAACACGTTCTTCTGTCTGCCGGAGCGAGATAAGGCCACCTGGAGGCATCCTCGGTCGCGTCAATGGCACCTGCTGGACTATGTCCTCGTCCGGAGGCGAGATCAGCGGGACGTGCTGGTGACAAAGGCGATCGCGGGTGCCGACAGGTGGACTGACCATCGCCTCGTCATCTCGAAGATGCGTATTCGCCTACAGCCTCGCAGGCGACCACAAGGTAAGCGACCCCCAGGTAAACTGAATATTGTCTTGTTGTCTTCGTTCGCTCACCATCTTCATTTCAGCAATGAGCTAGCTCAACGGCTAGCCAACCTTCCATTCGTTCTTGCCGACACTGACGAGGACACCTTCGTGGAGAACCGATTGTGTCAACTGCGAGACACAGTCCAGTCGACAGCGCTGGCCGTCCTCGGTCGCGCACGTGGACAACACCAGGACCGGTTCGACGACAACGACGCCGTTATCAGCAACCTGCTCGCCGAGGAGAACCAGATTCACAAAGCCTTAGCCAATCGCTCTACTGACGACAACAAAGCAGCCTTCTACCGTAGTCGTCGCTCTGAGAGAGATGCAGGACGCAGGGGCTGCTCGCAAAGCTGAGGAGGTCCAAGGGTACGCGGACCGCAGCGAATGGGAGAACTTCTTCTCCGCGATCAAAGCTGTCTACGGTCCGCCAACCAAAGGTACTGTGCATCTCCTCAGCGCCGACGGCAGTACACTACTCAATGAGAAGAAAAAAATCCTACAGTGATGGGCCGAACACTTCAGAGACGTCCTCAACCGTCCCCCCACCATCTCTAACGCCGCCATTGCCCGTCTGCCGCAAGTGGGGACCAACGTGGACCTCGACTTCCCGCCCTCTCTACATGAAACCATCAAGGACGTGCAGCAGCTCTTCAGCGGGAAAGCGTCCAGATCGGGCGCGATCCCTGCTAATATCTACAAGCAAGGTAAGCGGGAACTCATGGATCCTCTGACGGCGCTTTTCCGGTGGGTGTGCCGTCAAGGTGAATCCCCATAGGATATCAAGGGCGCCACAATCGTGCATCTATATAAACAGAAAGAAAAGAGCCAAATCTACGACAATCCCAGAAGCATCTCGCCGCTGAACATCGCCGGGAAAATCTTCTCTCGCATCCTTCTCAACCGTCTGAACAACCATCTGGAACAAGGTCTTCTGCCAGAAAGCCAATGAGGCCTCCCCCGTCATTGTAGAACCACCGACATGATCTTCGCTGCCCGCCAACCGCAGGAAAGGTGTCAGGAGATACGGACCAACCTCTACTCTACCCTGGTGGGTCTGAAGAAAGCCTTCGACGCGGTGAATCGTGAGGGACTGTGGAAGATCATGCAGAAATTCGGCTGTCCCGAGCGATTCATTCAGACGGTGCGTCAGCTCCACGACGTTCTGATGACGTGCGTCACGGACAACGGTGTTGTCTCAGAGACATTCGCAGTGAGGCAGGGCTGCGTCCTCGCGCCTACCCTCTTCAGCCTCATGTTCTCTGCATGATGATGGAGGCCTACAGCGGCGAACGCTCCGGGATACGCGTCGCCTGCAGGACCGATGGCTAACTTCTCAATCATTGGCAGATGCACTTCCAGTCGCGTGTATCCTCAACTACCGTCCATGAACGTCTATTCGCCGACGACTGCGCTTTCAGCGCCACCTCTGAAGGGGACATGCAAAGGAGCATGGATTTCTTCGTCGTCGCCGCCGCCAGCCACAACTTCAGTCAGTCTGATGTTCTCTGCCTTGCTGATGGACGTCTACCGTAAAGAAACCTCTGGGATTCGCGTCACCTACAGGACGGACGGCCGACTCCTCAATTAGTGGTGGATGCACTTCCAGTCGCGTGTATTCGCAACTTCCGTCCACGAACTTCTTTTCACCGACGACTGCGCTTTCAGCGCCACCTCTGAAGGGGACATGCAAAGGAGCATGGGTTTCTTCGTCGTCGCCGCCGCCAGCCACAACTTCAGTCACTCTGATGTTCTCTGCCTTGCTGATGGACGTCTACCGTAAAGAAACCTCTGGGATTCGCGTCACCTACAGGACGGACGGCCGACTCCTCAATTAGTGGTGGATGCACTTACAGTCGCGTGTATTCGCAACTTCCGTCCACGAACTTCTTTTCACCGACAACTTTGCTTTCAACGCCACATCCGAAAGGGACATGCAAAGGAGCATTGACCTCTTCGCCGCCGCCTGCTACAACTTCGGCCTGATTATTACCACGGTGAAGACGATGATTATACATCAACCGCCACCCGACGCTGTCTACGTCGCATCCAAAATCAACGTGGACGGCGCCCAACCGCTAGCCGCGGACAACTTCACCTACCTGGACAGAACTCTCTCTTGCAACACCAAAATCGACGATGAGGTGGCCCGCCGAATTCCTAAGGCCAGCCAATCCTTCGACCGCCTGCAAAACACAGTCTGGAATCGCCACGGTCTCCACCTCAACATCAAACGGAAAATGTACAAGGCGGTCATCCTGCGGACGCTGCTGTATGGAGCAGAGACTCGGACGAAGTACATTAAGCAGGCACGTAGACTCAACCGCTTCTACCTCAGTTGTCTTCGTCGAATGCTAAAGCTGAATTGTTGATAGAAGCGAACAGGCGCATCTCAGACACGGGCGCGCTGGAGCGGACGCGAATCCTCAGTATCTACGTCATGCTGAGACAGTTGCAACTGCGCTGGAGTGGCCATCTCGTGCGGATGGACGACGAGCGGTTAGCCAAACGACTCTTCTATGGAGATAGCGCGACGAGTTCAGGTCGACAAAGAGGTCAAGTGCGGCGCTACAAGGCCACCCTGAAGACTTCTCTAAGACGCCTGAAAATCAACCCGGCCAACTGGGAAGAACTCGCACGGGACCGACCAACCTAAAGCAGATCAGTGAAGACAGGCGCAGTAATCTACGAAGCCAACCGCATCACCGCCGCCAATGCCAACCGTGAAGTTCGCAAATCTCAATTGCTCCACCTCGCCACGCCAATGCTCAGCCAATCCCTAACCTGCCCACGATATCAGCGAACGTTCCGGGCACAAATCCGTCTCATTGGACGCCGCTGGACCATCTGCGGCCCACGGACGACACCAGTTACTGTCCCCCATCCAAGTCTGCCTCATCCCCCACGTCGACAATCAACACTGACCGCAAGTCCGATCCTTCACTACCATCCTCCTCCTCCTTCTCTCCTCCTCCTCCTCCT